GGAGCTGAAGTCCACAAGTCTTAAAAGTTGCTAAGGTTGGAAAGTCCTGCTTTAAAAGAGAGATGCAGGTGCTGGAATTGCATCAGATATAGCACGGAGAGCCGTTTTCATTGCAATAAACTTTCCATGCCTTCTTCAAGAGTCTCTAGTCCAGGTTATAAACGGAACAATTCCAATCATGGGGTCTGTGTAACAGTTTTAAAAAAAAAGACATTTCTTTATTTGACCATGTTAACTAAGAAAAAAATGTCATGAAGGTTAGAACAATTAACCAGTGGAACAACCTGCCTCCAGAAGCGGTGAATCCTCCAACACTGGAAGTTTTTAAGAAGAGACTGGACAGCCATTTGTCTGAGATGGTATAGGGCAGTGATGGCGAACCTTTTAGAGACTGAGTGCCCAAACTGCAACCCAAAACCCACTTATGCATCGTCAAGTGCCGGGTGGGTGTGGCCCATTGGCTGGGTGTGGCCAATTGGGTGGGCGTGGCCCATTGGGTGGGCATGGCTGCGGTGGTAACGGCAGACTGGGTGGGACTAAAAAGTTCAGTCAATCAATTCCAACTTTGCAAGACCTTTTTTTTCCCCACGAAAAGTTGAAATTGACTGATTGAACCTTTTTTTTTTTTTGCACACGGCAGCGGAGGCCTAAAGTGAAAAGGTTTTATAAAACCCAGCTGAAGGCCTAGGACTGGGGCGACGGTGCGCGTGCCCACAGAGAGGGCTCTGAGTGCCGCCTCTGGCACCCGTGCCATAGGTTCGCCACCACTGGTATAGGGTTTTCTGCCTGAGTAGGGGGTTGGACTAGATGACCTCTAAGGTCCCTTCCCACACTGTGATTCTGTCATTCTGTTATTTTGCCATGGCAAAACCAACTAGGAATTCAGTCTTAGTTGAACTTGTTGACTCCTAAAGTCTTTGACCATAATTGAGTCCAAAATTTCCGTTGCTAAGCGAGACGGTTGCGAAGTCAGTTTTGCCCCGTTTTACGACCTTTCTCACCACAGTTGTAAGCGAATCACCGCAGTTGTTGAGTTAGTAACACGGTTGTTAAGTGAATCTGGCCTCCCCATTGACTTTGCTTGCCAGAAGATCGCAAAAGGAGAATCGCTTGATCCCGGGGATGCTGCAACCGTCGTAAATATGAACCGGTTGCCGAGCGTCTGAATTTTGATCACGTGACTGCGGGGAGACTGCGACGGTTGTTAAGTGTGAAAAGCGGTCGTACGTCCCTTTTTTCAGTGCTGTTGTGACTTTGAACGGTCATGAAATGAAAGGTTAGATGTCGATCTTTAATCTATATTATGACGGAACTTTTAAGATGTTTTCTAGAGAAATATTTCTCAAACTTGATGGACTTCAGCTCCCAGAATTCCCCAGCCAGCAAGCTGAGAATTGAAGCCCACCCATCTTAAAGTTGCCAACTTTGAGGGGAAAAAAACCTACTCTAGATCAGAGGCCCCCAACCTTTTGGGCACCAGGGACCGGTTCCGTGGAGAGGGGTTTTTCCGCGGACCGGAGGGTGCGTGGTTTTGTGGGCTGCCTGCATCCCGCGGATGGGGTTTTGCTTGTTTGTGCGGACCGGTTGCTGGCATGCCGCGGACCGGTCCCGGTCCACAGACTGGGGGTTGGGGACCCCTGCTCTAGACTCTTCTTTATACTTAACCGTTTCTTTCCATGTTTTGTGCAAAGTAAATTATTGGGCCAGACCAGGGGTGACATGCAACTGGAGTGTTCATGAAATAGCCGGATAAAATGCACGGGAATACCGCCTCCTTCTGGAATTCCCAACCAACCCCAGATTGGGAAGATGGCCAGACGAAAAGTTGGTTTTAGTATTTAAGTTGGCCAAGTCTGCTTAAGTGGAAGACCACCCCTGGCAGTTGACCCGGTGTGCATTTTATCTCTGTAGATAGAGTTGGCATAGTGGAGTTCTTGCTGCTCTCTCTGAGTTTGGTTGTTTGCTTGCAGACGTTTCAGGACCCAACTAGGTAACGTCATCAGTCATATCGGGTCACATCGTCAGGCAATGAAGATGCTACCTAGCTGGGTCATGAAACGTCTGCAAGCTTAGAAAACAACCAAGCTTAGAAAGAACCAAGGATTCCATAATCCTCCACCTCCTCCTACTACTCCTCCTCCTCCCTCTCCTCCCTTCTAGCACTGATGATGTTGCCTAGTTGGGTAATGAAACGTCTGCAAAAAAACAATCAAGCTCAGAAAGAACCAAGGATCCCACAGTCCTCCTCCTTCTCCTCCTCCTCCTCCTCCTCCTCCCTTCTAGCACTGATGATGTTGCCTAGTTGGGTAATGAAACGTCTGCAAGAAAACAATCACGCTCAGAAAGAACCAAGGATCCCATAGTCCTCCTTCTCCTCCTCCTCCACCTCCTCCTCCTCCTCCTCCTCCTCCTCACTTCTAGCACTGATGATGTTGCCTAGTTGGGTAATGAA